AGTTCGCTATTATTACCATTATTGAAACGGCCAGGAGAGATAGAAGTCGTAGGCGGCTAGATAGATACGCTCAAAGTCGCCGAAGTTCGCTAAGAAAGGCTTCGAATTTAGAAGACCATACTTACGACATTCGCGAACGTTACTCAAAGGGCTTTTTTTATGTTTTGACGTCCCTGACAAAAATTTTCACAAGGCATCTCATAAAATATTTGTCCCACAAGGTTCCACAAAATATCTGCTTGTTATCTTCAAAAAACCAAGGTATTCTTTTCTGCCCCGCAAGGCTCTCATGGCTCTGCTTATAACGCCAACAAATCTCTCAACATTTCACAAGACTCTTCGGTGGGTCCTCTAATACACGTCTCCAATGTACGACAACGCTCTTTGAGGGTCTGCCTTTAAGCCAATATTGCCACAGAACTTTTCGTGGGTCCGCCAGTAAGTGTCTTCAACGCCCAGCAAAGCTCTTTGAGGGGCCCCCTCTCAGCCAACGATGCCACAGTACATATTGTGGTTCCGTCATTAAGTGTCTTCACTGCCCCATAAAAAATTGTGAGAGCCCGCGTCTGAGACAACAAAGCCACAAAACCACAGAACACCTAGAACACCTATCAGTTTAGAGAACGGAAACTGTACCTTTGTGCTGTTGTATCAAACTTACATGCAAATACGTAGTGGCGGCGTACTGAACTGCAATACCGCGAGGCCAGGTGGCGCTGGTAGAACTATCATCATCAATAAACAGACGCATGTTTTTTTTGCTGCAGGGAAGGGGGGGGGGGGCGGCTGGTTCGCGCTGCTCGCTTCCTCTGCTTTTTTTCGTTGCTAAATCGCGTCGTTTCGCGTCTGTAATTATCGCCAGGTGACCTAGGTGGCCTCGGCTGGCAAAAATCACGTCAAGCAATTAGGGTTTGCATTGTTTATTGCGAGTGTCCAAGCCGGTACAATCAATGTATACGATCGGGTCCGAACAAAACAAGTCACTTACAGATATCAAAAGCTTTCAACTCATGTGTAAATACTCTTGAAAGCTAACAAGCATATGCACATAACTGAACATCGAGATCGCTGAATGAGCGTCACTCTCATTGCGTTGTGTCGTTCGAGTTTATTAGCGTTGCTTCAGGACAAGGGTCCGATTTTGCCATCAGATGTGGCGCTTGCCCTGTAGTGTTGATCTGGAAGTGAAATGAATGCATGATGTGGAATGTGGAAGGAAACTTGTACATCGCCGATATATAGCTCGCGCAGTGTAGTATTGCTAAATTTGTTAAATAATCAATTGCGGATGCGTGCAGTTCTGAATTCTTTTCGTTCTGCAATGATACATTGAGTACTTCACGATTGTGCAATGTCGCGTCGTGTCGACAGGGTAGGCACTAGTTTCAATTTTCAGCCGTGAGCCCATATCAAAGGTAATATGTATTTAAGTGATGGGCCTAAATTATTTCAGGCTTGCTACATTTATTGTTAGAGTTAAGTTACACAGTTACTACAGCTCGAATTTCTCGTTGCAAGTAATGACTGGTTGGCCGAGTATGCAGTGAACATGTATGCTGAAGGAACAGTTATGATGTGTGTAATTACAGATAGAAAAGGCCCAATTCTAAGAAAATAAGCTTTAGGCATGCGTTGTACAATTCTGTTGTTTTTACATCTTTGTTGGTGCTTTTACAATACACTATCTGCTCACCTCTGAGCACAATCTCTTTTTTGCATAGACATATCTATAGAACTTGAGTACTCTCTTGCAAACAAGCACTCCTGAAATCAGTTGGTGGTACATGATGTGAATCTGTCCAAATACTGACTCAATAAAGATCACATTAATTACACACTTGTTATTGCTTACTCTTTCAGTTTACTTGTGCTTGGAAGCTGAAGTTGTTTTCTCCCTGCTACTTTTGGAGGTTAGGACTTGAAATACGTACTATCTTGCAGTGTGGCTGTGAATAAGTCAAGAACATGTATGTTTCAACTACCAGTGCGATTTCCGAGATTTTTTCATGATCGTAGTGCACATAATTTCCCTTCGTAGTGGTAGACACTATGGTTATGACAACTTAATTTAAACAGAAGCAGATGAGCTCAAAGAAATCTGGGACGTTTCTATGCTATATGAAAAAAAGAAGCAGTACCACATGCAATGAACACAAGCTCGCTTTTCACGACAGCATTCACGTCTTATGAGGAAGCTGTGCTGCAAGTGCTCATCACCTCCATGATTTATTATTTTAGGAGCCCATTGAACATATGTGCAAAGCTAAAGCAATTGAGTGCAGCCTTATGAGCTTTGGCGCGTCTTTTTGTAAACTTGTATGAGCTAAACAAAGTTAAGACAAAACAGTTTTGGGCGTTGTTCGTAAACTGTCACAAAGCAAAACTATATGTCGGAAAGCCTGTTAATGTTTCTCACTACTGCGGTGTTCATTTTGCAATTAATAATTTCTGACTATTCACATGCCAACTATGAAGTGATCGTGAGTCATACAGTAGGGGGCAAATTTAGATTGATTCTGGCTTCCAGGGGTTCAGACAAATGACACTGTAGCTTCACAGGAGACAAGAATGCTTGTCGGAAACATTTGCTCTGACACCCTATGTTAACCGATTTTTCATATTTTCAAGCTTTCATCCTTTAAGGATCAGTTTATTTCACCTGCACCGATCGAAACTGGTTCACAGCTGTGCACGAGAACTTCAGAACTTGTGCAGCACGAGTTCAGCATTGCGGCATCCCAAGTGAATGACAAGGTGCCGACACGGTGGAATCCTTATTTTTCTTCGCTTAACTTAACGACGCGCAAACATCGTGGCAAAACACGCCGCATTTGCAGAGGTGGGTACAGTACCTACGTCTAATGCTATGTTGTTTGTTAGGCAGTGCGTGCGGCTGCACCAAACCAGCGCCGTCAGAGCAGAAGGTACAGGAAATTCATGAACTAGTTTTGGTGCTGTACCTCTCCTGCGCTTTTTGAAATGAATGGCACGATTTAGAAGACGCCATTGCTGCGCCACTGAAACGATTGGCGAGGGGCAGCACTTTGTAAAATGGACCATGTGGTGCAGGCGAATCGAACAAACCCTTAAGCACACAAGCGTCTTAGCGTTTCAAACCTATCAAAATATGGCCACTGTGGCTGGGATCTAACAGTGTGTTGTTGAGCTCAGCAGTTTCACAAAATCTAACTAATAGTGTTACAGTTTCAACATCAATGAAATGTAGACACTATGCCACGGTAGACAGCCAATGCTTGTGGCTAATTTAAAGCACCGCTCCACGATATGCACGGTAAAGCACTCACAAATACAGCATTACATGTGTGAGGTTAGAGATGACCTGTTGTAGTGGACATTCAGATGTTTCAACGGGGTCGCAGAGAGGACATTCGGGGGTAGTCAACCTGTCGTTGCAATGGCGGTCTGGAAAAACGAGTAAAATCACCAGATAATAATGTGTGTATTCAATGCTTAATGAATGCAAGAAACTTTCCTATGTAAGCAAATAAACTCAGTTAACTAGTAAACAGCAGTATTTTATACTTATATTTAATGGTACTTCATATCAGCTGTATCACTCAGGGCCGCTTCTTCACAAAGCATGTCATGTAGCAGGTTCCTTGCCCATTGTACACAGCTGCTCCTATGTCAGGTTGGCCAGGATGCTGTGGAAGAAAAAGAATTTCTCATTTATGTGACGTTTTCTTTGTCGCACTATAGCATAACCAGACCCATATTTACGTGATGTTTCTCAAACGCGACTGTGGGAAACTATTAACAAGTAGGTTTTTTGCACTAATATATGGGCTAGCTGCGAAAACACATGCGAGGCGACAGTGATTTATTTGTCTTCTTTAATCGCAACGGCATGGCTGGTGTTACCTCGTGATAAAATTTCAGAAATAGCTAGTGAGTCAGCGACTCGTTCCCACGTGAAAAAACGCCGCAAGTAACGCACGTTTTTTCAGTTACAGGTTGTGACGTCAAACAATCCTAAAATTTAATATTGCAATGCGCTGCCACTGTGTGACGCCTACGCACTGTTTGGCAAAAAAACCACATACGTTGAAATGAAATAACTAGCCCCGCAAACAACCGTCCTTAAAAAACTGAAGTGGTTTCTACTCACCGGCCTGGGCTTGCAATGGGTGCTAATCCGATGAAAGCTTCAACGGTCGCTTCGTTCCCGGAAGTCACTTGAATTCCCTTCGCGAAAGCATTTGAACGACTCAAAATAAACAGAACGAGAAAGAGTGTGTCGTTCAACAGAGGCTCGAAATATTTACAGCGCAACGAAACAGTCCGAGACACATCTGAACGTACCGCGAGTGGTTACCTGCCATCGCAGCCGTTGGCCGCTGCAAACTTTAAATGACGATAATGATGTCGATAGGCTGATGCTGACCTCGAGTCAGCTGGAGCAAAAACTGATTGATTGATATGTGGGGTTTAACGTCCCAAAACCACCATTTGATTATGAGAGACGCCGTAGCGGAGGGCTCCGGAAATTTCAACAACTTGGGGTTCTTTAACGTGCACCCAAATCTGATGACACGGGCCTACAACATTTCCGCCTCCATCGAAAATGCAGCCACCGCCGCCGGGATGGCTGGAGGAAAAACTATTACAAAAAATTGATGACGCAGCACATGTTTAAGAAAAACTACTTGCTAGAAAAACAATTTTTTTTTTGTGTAGCATTAAGGAAAAATGTAGTATTTGATCATTTTAAAATAAAAACTTGGCCTTGATTAGGGCGTCCCAACAAAAAAGTGCAATAGCGCTAGTGGCGAAAAAGGTTAGTATATCTACTGTGGGTGTTTGATGCAGAAACGGGCCGCGGTTGAGTTTTTCGCGCCCTACAGGTGATCACTTGATTTTGAGAGTTTCTGGGGCCTGACAAAACTTTTTGTTGGCCCGTTCTAAGCAAGCCAACAAAGCTTGTGAGACATTGAAAACTTTTATATGAATTATCGTGACAATCTTATTCATTTTTACAGGTGGACTACACCACAAGTTATACCCGTCAAGAACTTCTTCTTGCGTTGGAGCGTTATGCTGCGGGCTTCCAATCTCATGGATTGAAATTGGGCGACCACGTCTGTGTACACATGCGGAACTCAGTCGATGCGTTTGTCGCTGTGTTCAGCCTCATCTTCGCAGGCGCCACCATCGTTCTAGCGAAAACATCGCTCACGACTCGTAAGGATGCCTACTAGATATAAACGTGTAACAGTCTTATAGCTTCACCTTTTCTCGAAAATTTCAATTAGCCTCAACGGCATGTTCAGTGCATTCAAGGCTGTCTTTGTTCAAAAGCTAACTATCCGGGTGAATCGTGATTCTTTTTAAATGTCGAAACGTATGCATGCCAACTCAACAGTAATACTGTCCGTAAATTTCTGTGTGACTAGGAATGATGAAAGTTTTAAAGAAATGAAATCGGCAAAATAAGTTTCATCCTTCTGTTGGAGAAATCAGTACAAGAAAACAGTGGTACGTACAAGTTCCTTCACAGAAGCCGGCGTAAGATTGAAGCTGTTTAGAGAATCCTTTTCTGTCTATTACTCACCACTGGTCCACGAAGAAAGCAGCAGTGAAGTCCAGAAAACGGGTATGTGTCGTAAAAATTTTTTAAGCCTATCAGAAAACTATCAACATCGGAAGGAGCTTTGTACTTTGAAGAAATGGTTATCTGAGAGAAGAAACGCTGCTGGACGGCAGCTCACAAAAGGCGTTCTTGGGATGACAACTTCTTGAAAAAATTTCGACCAGCAATTCGGCCCATTGAACCAGAATTATGGCATTAGTGGATTAAAAAAGTTCGAGGGGTTCTGTAGATACTGAAACCTCATCGGTGAGTAGAATATATCGAAAGTTACGGAACTCATTTTTCCGATCACGCTAGCGGAATGGTCGGCGGAACGCCGCGTGGTGTGGGTCAATCTGTGTTAGGCAGGGAAGTACAGTGCGCACTGTAACATGGCCAGCTCTATGCAGGAAACCGTTGAAGGTGAAGATAGCGCTCCGGAAGACGGCAGTAAATAGGCTGGATTACCTTCTGCCATCCCCAAGAAAAGCTTGAGAAATCAAACATACAACGCGTCAACCTGCCAAACAGCTTCTGTCTGCATTGAGGCGGGAGAAGTGAAGTCAGCATCAAGAAGCAACACTTAAAAGCATCACGACTACCACAGCTACCGGAAGAGCATATTAGGTTTATCATCAGACAGAGAGGAGGCTTGAACATCAAAAAGGTGGGCGACAAAAATTTCCCAGGATATAGCAGCAATGACGGGTCTTACCGCAAATTATAAGGTAGTATACTTTATCTGCTCGAACAATATACAAAATATATTTTTCGCCAGCAGGCCATTACCATCAGCAAAGCCATGAATGAAGTCAGAACACACAGAGCTGCACCTAACGACACATCCAAGAATGTGATCAGAGACATCGACTCAGAGCTGACTCTGGATCAGATTCGAGATCTCATATTACACTCAAGAAACCCAAGTGTATTGGACGTCCGAAGAATAAAATCCACGAGCTCGGTAATCGTTCTCTTCGATAGGCTTAAAGTGCTGGTTTATGTCAAATGTGCTTCCAGTCTCAAATGCTCGCTATACTGGAGCAGGTGGATTGCTACTATGCATGCGGGAGATCGGGCCACAGAGCGCACACCCAGAAAAGGCATAATCAGAGGCTGTGGTGCAGAGAGCCCAGATGAGACGCACACATTCACTACCAAATGCGCGTTGCATGGAGGGCCTAATCCGACTGCTAGCAGAGCCTGTAGAAGCCGATTCTATTTTAGTTATGATCTCAGACACAGAAAAAGGCTACGAAAAACTCAGAACCACTCAAGTGCAGCGGCAAAGTCACCACTCCCTAAATCCACCCTCTGCAGAAGGTCAAGATCAAGAAGTCGATTCATTGATTTGTGGAGTTTAACGTCCCAAAACCAAAAGATCAAGAAGTCGAAGGCCATGACCAGCCCATAACCCATACACATCGGCAAAGTTGGAGGACGACACTGTCGCGGTGGAGGCAAGTCCCCGAGCGAAGTCTAAATCCAGAAGCGAATTCCCATCGATCGGACTTCACCATCCCTGATCCAAGCCCTGACCAAGGTCTAAAGGTGCATCGGTGCACATCCAGCCACCCGACCGGAGCTCTCCTGCGCAGGCAGGGCCTTTGTAAAGACGGTCCAGATTGATGGAGCTGAACCTGATCCAGGAGGCATAACTTAATGTACAAGGAAGATACAGGAGTAGAACGTTCAGGAGAGTACCAGGTCCAGTGATCACATCGCAGAGCATATTCGTCAGATAGAAAAATTTAAAAGTAAGATTGCGGAGCTCAGAACAATGAATCAAAGTATGCTAAAGGAATTACTTGAAATCCGGAAGCTACTTAGTGCACGTTAACGAACCCCGGGTGGTCTAAATTTCCGGAGCACTCCACTACGGCGTCTCTAAAGTTATATGGTGGTTTTGGGACGTTAAACTCCACATATCAATTAATCAAGCTACTTAGTCAGAAAATGCAATCAGAACGCATCAACAAGAAAACACCCAATCCTGCATATGCAGTAGAGAGTTGTTTCAGCAAAGCGCAGGGCAGTAGAAGGTAGACTAAAAAGCAGTGAAGCACTGGTAGAGGGAATGAAACAATTGCCATGCACTTTTTCAGAAAATATGAAGAAGAAAATGGAGAGGCTCCTACAACTGACGAGTACCACAGCACGAATTCAAGCGATACTTTATGATTCTAAGGAGTGCCTCAGTGCATTCCGGGAAAAAATCAAGACCCTAGAAATGATTACTTTGGCTATAGACACTCGAGAGCAATGGGAGCGCTTCTTGCTTAGACAAGCCAATCTCACCCCTGAAACAGAAGACAGCAGTACCCAATACAGTGCACACTGAAAGAGAGTTCAAAATCTGGCAATATTGTTGTCAGAGCCGCCATAACCAGCCAGTCACTCTCACACAATATTTTCACACATCAAATGTTATGCCGTTGTAGCACTGCGAGAAACTGGCAACAATTACGTCACACTTACGGGCTAGAAGTCAATAGAGTCCCAATCTATTGGCAGGGGCTTGTGCACAAAAAGAAAGACACATACACTACACAAGAACTAGACGTCAGCAAGAATGACTTGGAGCACCTCTTGGTAGGTATCGTCATACCATCTGGTAACAATTGTATTAGTAGCAGCCTCTTTATTCTCGACATGTACAGCAGCCCCAGACATAAATCTCACTTCCGAAAACTGTTTGAGAAAACAACCGAAATTGCTGGTAGCAGACCAATAATTATAGACAGCAACTTCTACGTACGACATTACCTATGGGGCTATAATACAATGACCTCCAAGAGAAGGGTTCTGTGGTGACATGCAAACGAACTTGGTGTAACCCACAATAACTTAGAAAGCATGTCCAACTAGAAATATCAAGTGAGTCTGCAGAAATAGTACCCAGCACTTCACGTTCACCGAAACATAGAGAACGTCGAGTGGGTAAATACAAGAAGTGAATTCAGGAGCGACCAATTCATACTGGATATTACCACGAAAGTTGCCTAGGGTAGAACGAAATAATTCTCGGTTGTTCACTGTGACGATTTTCACTGATCCAGATCCAAAATACAAGGTCTTGACACCCCTCTAAACTTCTACAATTGCACCAGTCAAATGAAAGGTTACATGTGAAAAGTTTCAAAGAAAAGTTTACTGATTTAATTACCAAGGTATGAACGACAAACTAGTACACATAGTCGAAAAAAACAGTTTAACGCAAGATTGGAGCAAACGCATATTAAACAAAAATCTAAGAAAACGAATTGCCAGCCTTAACAGAGATATTGAGCAATATTGCTAATATTTAAATCAACAACAATGGAATGAGTTTGTGGGCGAATTGACGGACAACTTCAAGACGGGTATATTTGAAAGTCAAACATACTTTTGATCAACAGAATACTGGGACTATTAAAACACAACTTTGTGAGGGCCGTTCATATTGCTCTGAAAAGCAAGGACATGATGATGGTCATCAAACAACTGACCCAGAAATAGCTATCTTTCAACATGAGTGAAACACAGGCACGCCACAGCCAGATTTAGAGAAACACATCATGACTGCAGAGTTAAGAAGAGTAACAAATAATTTAAAGAGAGTATCCACCCCCAGTTCCAAATGGTGTAACAAGCAAAGCACATAGACCTAGATGATTACTCTATCGAGCGGCTAACTGAGTTCATCGATGAGACATGGACTACGGGCACAGTGCCCGAGAACCGGAAAGTATCACAAGTTATCTTAATCCCAAAAGAAAGAAAACTACCGACCTCAGATAACCTACGACCAATTTACTTTACATCGTGTGCGAATAAGGCAGCTGTACACGCTGTTCTAAACAGGCTGAAAAGCCATTTAGGGGAAAGGCAAATATACACACCCAATATGATTGGCTTTAGAACAGTTCTGTCCAGCCGGGAAGCTGATACAGCTCATGCGTCTCATATTGGACGTACACTCCAAAGCCACCAAAACCATACGAGGACTTTACTTGGAAAGAGCTTTTGATAACATCAAAAATGAATATATTTTACGTACAGTTATGTATCTGAGACTTCGGGAGAGGCCTTACAAATACTTTAGGTCTTCATAACAGTCCTGCGAAGCTCAGAGTGAAAGACAATGAAATGGAATGGCTACAACTTGGAGATAAAGGCACTCCTCAAGGTTTCGTGCTTTCTCCAGTACTCTTTAACAGATGATGATAGGTCCCTCCAGAGATTTGATTAAGATAAACAATATTGAACACACTAGTTATGCTGACGATCTCACCATCTGGTGCTCACAGGAAAGTGAAAAGCACACACAGGATGCATTATATCGAACAGTCGGGACGGCGGAAGAATACCTAAAGCCATTGGGGCTAAGATGCTCCTTCCACAAATCGGAGCTACTCATATAACTGAAAGAAAATGTAGGAACAAAAGGTTGGCAACCACCGTCCGAATGCAAGATCGAATTACACAACACCAATGAGGACGAAAATTCCAAAATGAATGGGATAAGAGTCCTGGGATATTTTAGTGACGCTGAGGGAACAAAACAGCGCCTAAATAGATCATGCTCAAAACAGAGAACGCATACAGAATAATCAAAAGACTGGCAGTAAAA